GGGGGGTGCACGCATGTGTGTAGTGAGAGCCCCTGAGATCTGTTTTCTTAGAAAATTTTCAGTATTTGATACAGTATTAACTATAGTCATCATGTTATACATTAATTAGATCTCCAGAACTTATTAATTCGACAAAACTACAACTTTTTACCTTTGACCAACATCTCCCCGTTTCCCCAACCTCCCCACCCGTGGTAACCACTGTTTTACTCTCTCCTTCCATGAATTCTACTTTTTTAGGTTCCACATGTGAGTGAAATGATGCAGTATTTTCCCTGCTGGGTCTAACTTATTTCACTTAGCATAATGTCTTCCAGGTTTACCCATGTTATTGCAAATGACAGGATCTCCTCTTTCGAAGCTGAATAATATTCCATTGTATGTATACAACACAATTTCTTTATCCATCCACACATCCACAGGCATTTAGTTTGTTTCCATACCTCATCTATTGTGAACGCTGCAATGAACGTGGGAGCACCGATCTCTCTCTGAGGTACTGACGTCATTTCCTTTGGATATAAACCCAGAAGAGGGACTGCTGGACCATATGGTAGCTCTATAACTAACATTTATTGATTGGCTGTCACAGGCCAAGCACAGTTCCAAGCCTGCTACATGTGTCAGTTCAGGTAACCCTCCCAGCCCTCTGAGCAGGTGCTGCTTTGACGGTCATGTCCATTTCATCTGAGATGAATGAAGAGGGCTCAGTCACTTGTCAAGGTCACACAGAGGAAGCGCACAGCCAGGCCTTACCTCCCGAGAGCCTGGTTCCAGGCCCCACGCTCTCAAGGCCGAGCGCCCTTCCTCTCGGGAGCTCCAAGGGACTGTGAGCACGCTCGGAGGGAGCAGGCTTCCAGAGAGACACTGTGAAGTGAGCCAAAGGGGCCAGGGAAGCAGGAGGCTGCACAAGCGGGTGACACAAGGAAGAAAGCTCCACCCTTAGAGGAAATGTTACGGGACAACAGAGAACAGACCACCACCCAGCTTCTCCTTTCATCTTCATTCATTCCACAAAATAAAGGAGTGCATGAAGCGCGAAGGGCAATAATAAAAGAACTGGGAAAATCACAATATTTGTAAAAGTAAAAAAGAAACACCAGATCAGGGAGAAATGTTACAAAACAACATTCAGTCTCAATGATCAGTTCTCTGATCTCTGTTGAGAAACTAGCCAGGTTTTGTTTCCAGAGCTCACAGAAGTGAATGTGAAATCAGTCCACATTCCTTAAGAAACTGGGGAGAATTAAAGATGCTAGAAATACAGAGCCCACCGAATATTTGGAAATGTTTCACAGGGGAAAAAGCTAGACCGCAGAAATGGCAGCCAAGTATCTTAGAATATAACCCTTAGGAATGTTGAAATGTACTAGATGTGATCCTTGAGGATGTTATAGACTACAAATGCTTTGTTTGTGAAAATTTCACTTATTTAAAAAATATATTTACTGAGTGCTTTCTCTGTGCTTTCACGAAGCTTATGTGTGTGTGTTTTTAGTGGGGGTAGGTTTAGGCAATAAATAATTGAATATATGCAGAAATATATAGCAGGTGAAGTATGACAGAAGGCACCCAAGATTTTGGTAAGGAATATCATTCATAGGATGCTCAAGGAAGATCTCTCTGATAAGGTGATTTTTGGAGAGACCTTTTGAGAAGAAGATGGGACACTGGAGTATATAGAGGAAAAACATTCAGTGAAAATAAATGGTCCTGAGGTGGGAGGGTACCTGGCGAGTTCCCAGAGCATGGAAGAGGCCCACTGGACTGGGGTGGAATGAGGGATAAAGCAAGGACCTCAGATGACATCTAAGAAGGGACAGAAGCCCTGATTATGTACATGGGACCTATGGGCCACTGTGAGGACTTAGTTTTTATGATGAGAAAGATGGGAGGCTCTGAATGGTTTAGACAGTCAGTGGCATGATCCTAGTCATATTTTCGCAGGATCACTATTGCCACTTTGTGGGAATGGGGTCAGGGAAGCAGAGGAAGCAGTAAAAGGCTTCTGCAATAATCTGAGCCAGATGTCCCCCCCACCTTCTCCCTTTACGGAAAGGCACTGGTCTTGTCCATGTTAATAGTCCTCTTGCCAAGCACAGTGCCTGGTGTAATGATGATGACTGGATGAAATCTGGTGCCCAGGAAGGAAACATGCACTTGTCCATATTAAAAACAAAGCCTATAATTAGAGTCATGGCTCAGAGGTGACAGGAGGTATGCAAATGGAAAGAGACACCATTTCAAACCATAGTTCAAGATATATGCTTTGCCTGCTGCCAGTTCCCTTGAAACCCATAAGCAAGTCCTCCTCTCTTCTCCACCCAGGCAGGTCCAGGTGGGCATGCAAAACTGGGCTTGGGAAATTGAGACCATCTTGTTTGCATCCATGGTGCTGTGTTGTGGCTCCCTGGGGACGTTGTTGCACAGAAACACCAGGGTTTCTTAAAAGCTTCTGCATCATCGGAGAGATACAACCATCATTCTTCTCTAGTATCCAAGAGATGGTCTAAAGCAACAATATCCTTCTAAGTTCCTGCCAGGACTTGCTATGCGCTCACTTTGTCATAGATCTAGGCAAGAGCCGAATGCCTTGTGAAGGGAAGGTCCTGGCTCAGAATGAACACTTACTCTTCTCTACTGGGCAGTGTGTGAGTCTTAGGTTGGCCAAGCAAGAAGAGACATCATGTTGGCTCTGATTCCCACCAAAACTGTGTTCTATGAAGTCAAGTGTGTGTTTCTGTTCCTTTCAGTCCTGGAGTTTACAGTGGGAATTCTGGCCAATGTCTTCATTTTGTTGGTGTATTTTCGGGACATGGTGAGGAGGCAGCCCCTGAGCACCTGTGACCTTGTCCTGCTGAGTCTCAGCTTCACCCGGCTTTTCTTGCATGGGGTGCTGCTTCTGGATGTCATCCAGCTTACCCATTTCCAGAGCATGAAAGAGCCACTGAGCCTCAGCTTCCAAATCACCGTCATGCTCTGGATGATGACAGAACAAGCTGACCTCTGGCTCTCCACCTGCCTCAGCTTCCTCTACTGCTCTAAGATCGTCCGTTCCTCGCACTCCTTTCTGCTCAGCTTGTTCAGCTGGATCTCCAGGAAGATCTCCCGGATGCTCCTGGGGGCTGTTTTTTTCACCAGTGTCTGCATGGTCATCTGTTCTTCGCACATTTGTAGGAGACCTCACTTGACAGTCACAACTGTGCTATTCATAAAGAATGATACAGAACACAATTTGCAAACTGCAAAACTTCAGTTCTTTCATTCCTTCCTCTTATGCAGCCTGGGCTCCATCCCGCCTTTCCTGTGTTTTCTGGTTTCTTCTGGGGTGCTGATTGTCTCCCTGTGGCGCCACATGAGGACAATGAGGGCCAAGACCACGGACTCTCGTGACCCCAGCCTGGAGGCCCACCTCAAAGCACTCAGATTCCTCATCTCCTTTCTCTGCCTCTTTGTGCTATCATTCTGCGCTGCCCTCCTCTCGGTGCCTTTACTGGTGCTGTGGTACAACAAGTTCGGGGTCATGGTCTGCCTGGTGGTCATGGCAGCCTGTCCCTTGGGACATTCAGCCATCCTGATCTCGGGCAATGCAAAGCTGAGGAGAACCGTGGACGGAATTCTACAGTGGCTTCAGAGCAGACCACAGCAGGCCACAGCAGGCCACAAGGCAGATCCCAGGCCGCCAGATCTGTGTTGAGAATGGACATGAAATGGGTTCTTCATGAAGACACCTCTGATTTCTCAGAAGCCTATTTCTTCTGCAAATCATAACTGAGGAGTCTGTCTGCTCTACCATGGACTCCCCCATAGAAGAATAAAACAGTAAAGCTCTACCTATATGGCCTAGGCAAGTAGAATGACGTTGGTTCCCTAGGCTTGTTTTGATAAATGAACAAATATAAAGGTGAGGTACTCAGTGTAAATGCTTTGTATACTGTAGCTTATCAGCGCTTGGTAGGAGCCAAACCATGAGAAATCAGGTCTTGCGAAATAATATTGAAACCCCAAGATGACATGGTTAGCTTTTCACATGACCGTTAAACCTGCTTCTTAAAACAGGTGCTAGCGTAATGTTTGGAAATACCCACACTGTGGCAATTAAGAATCCTCCCTAGCCCGGCCGGCCATGGCTCAGTGGCTGAGCGTCGACCTAGGATCCAGGCGATCAGGGTTCGGTTCTCGGTCAGGGCACATGCCCGGGTTGCGGGCTGCAGCCGATCAACGACTCTCTCATCATTGATGTTTCTAGCTCTCTCTCTCCCTCTCCCTTCTTCTCTCTGAAATCAATAAGGATATATTTAAAAAAAAAAAAAAAAATCCTCCCCAAACTCCACTGTTTTCATGGAAATGCGAGACACAAAAGGACTCACTTGGAAGAATTACGTCACCACTTCCGCTTCAAGAGGTACTTCATTAAAACTTCTACAGGAACCAAAGGGTAGGGGTCATTTTGTCTGAAAATAGGCTGACTCAGAAATGTGCTTTCGGCCTGCTGTCCAGCGCGGGGAGGGGCAGACACTTACTCAGAAGGCGCCCCAGCCTGTTTCTGGGACCTCCGCTCAGCACAGTGTTGTTGAGATTCATCCTTAATAGCACGTGAGTTACGACTTGCATAACCACTCATTAATGGCGAACAATTGTACTGCTTACGGTTTGGGGCTATTATGAATGAAGCTTTAGAAACATTCTTGAATCCATCTTTTTGTGGCCACAGTTTTGATTTCTGTTAGATAAATACCTAGGAGCAGAATTGCTGTGTCATAAAGTTGATGTACGTGTAACTGTTCGAATAACTGCCAGAGTTTTCTGAAGTGGCTCTAGCATTTCATGCGGCCATCAGCAAAGCAAAGGCGTTGTTCTGCGTTCTTGGTAACATTCGGCGTTGCCTGTATTTTGACATTTCGGCCCTTCCCATTGTGGCGGGGGTGAATGCTATCTCACTGTGGTTTTAGTTTGCATCTCCCTGATGCCCAATGATATGGAGCACCTTTCCATGTGCTTCCTGGTTATGTGTATATCTTCTATTATAAAGTAACTCTTTGATGGTTGCCCTTTTTTCATACTGAGTTGTCTTTTATTATTTATCTTTAGGAGCTTATTGATTCACAGCATTTGTGCGCATATGTGTGTGTGTTCATTCTGGATACAAGTATTTTATCTGATAGATCCCATATTGTGAATAGTTTAACCCAGACTATGATTTGCCTTTTCATTTCCTTAATGGCATCTTTTGATGAACAGAAATTTTGAGTTTTGACAAAATCCAATTTATCATATTTTTTCCTTTAATGCTTAGCACTTTTTGTGTTCTGAGAAATATTTGCCTGCCTCTAAAATGCAAAAATAAACTACTATGATTTCCTCTAGAATTTTAGTAGTTTTCACTTTTACATTTAGGACTATAATTCATTTTTTATTAATTTTGTACCTAAGGTTACGTAGGATTGAACTGTATTTTTTTCACACGTCTTTCCAGTTATTCCAGTGCCATTTTTGAAGATTTCTCTTCCTCATTGAATTGATTTGACTTTTTTCAAAAATCATATGTCTATATATTATGAATCTCTTTCTGGTCTCAATATTGTGTTCCATTGACATATTTGTCTCTCATTTCACCAAAATCTCACTTTCTTGGTTACCGTAGATTAATGGTAAATATTGAAACCAAATAGTGTCAGTCTTCCAAAGTTACTTTTTTTCTCAAAAATTATTTTGCTTTATCTGAACTCACAAATGTGGGATCACTTTGTTTATTTTTTTTAAGCCTGTTAAAATTCTAATCATGTTGAATCTTGATGTCACCCTGGGGAGAAATGACTTCTTAAAAACATTCGATGTGACAATCTATAAATATATCTCTTCATTTATTTACATCTCTAATTTCTCTCAACAATGCTTTGTAGCTTTTAGTGTAGCTCTTACATGTTTCTTAATAAAATTATCCTATATATTTAATACTTTATAATGCTATTGTCTATTAATTTTAATTTTATTTTTTAATTATTTGTTGTTAGTATATAAAAATATAGTTGATTTTTATGTATTAACCATGTGTCCTGTTACTGTCCTAAATTAATTTATTAGTTTTAATAGTTGTTTGTAGGTGCTTCAAAATGTTATACTTAAACCACTGTGTCATCAACAAATAAAGACAATTTTACTTCTTCCAACCCAATCTGTATGCCCTTTATTTATTTTATTTAACTTATTTTATTGGCTGTGATCTTCAGTACAATATTGATTGGAAGTAGTGTGAGTATACATCCTTGCCTCAGTCCTGATTCTAGGGTAAGGACATCCACTATTTAATCATTAAATATAATGTTAGCTGTGTTGACATATTATACTTACATACCTAATATAAGGCTGATCTCTTGTAGATCTCCTTTGTCAGACTAAGAAAGGCTATTTTTATTCCTAGTGTACTGAGAATTTTTACCATTAATGGGGGTTTAATTTTATTAAAACCTTCTTCTGTATTTATTGAGATGATTGTATGTCTTCTCTAGTTTGTAAACATAGCGATTTACATTGAATAATTCTTGAATGTTAAATAAATCTTGCTTTCCTAGGATAAATCTCTACTTGGTCATAATGTATTATTATTTTTATATTGGTCTATTTGACTTGCTAATGCAAAAAATTTTTGCATCTATGTTCAGAAGGACTACTAACTCTATTTTTTAAAAAAATCTTTGTCAAGTTTGGTCTCAGGATTATTCTAGCCTCATAACACAAGTGGGAAGTGAGTCCATCTTCTTAATTTTCTTTTAGACTTTGTATAAAATTGGTATTAGTTCCTCCCTAAATATTTGATAGAATTAATTAGAGAAATCATTTGGGCCTGAAATTTCTTATTTAGGAAGGTTTTTTAAGTTATTATAATTATAACTTGTTTAATAGATACAGTATTATTAATATTTTCTATTTGCCCTTGTATTTATTTTGGTAAGTTAGCGTAAATTTAATCATAATATCCCTTTTTTTAATCATTTTAATATTTGTAGTATTTATTTTGCTAGACCCTCTTTCATTCCCAATTTTGATAACTTTTGCTCTCTTTTTAATTCATCACTCTCCCTAGAGATTTCTCAATTTATCGATATTTCCAAACGTCTTTTATTTTCTTCTGCTTACTTCCTATTGTTTATTACTTCCTTCCTTCTATTTTATTAGGTTTAATTTCTCTCCCTTATTTAGCCTCTTACGGCAGAAAATTAGATCATTAGTTTCCTTTCTTCTGTTCTACTATACACATTTTAAGTTTTAAGTTTCTCACTAAACATTTTTGCCATATCCCATAAATTTCAATATCCTACATTCCCCTACCTTTTTTGAGATATAATTGGCATACAACATTTGCAAGTGAAGGCGCGCAGTGCGATGATTTGATATGCATATATATCGTGAAGTGTTGACCGCAATGTAGTTAACACATTCTTAGCCTTACATAGTTACCATTTTGTCGCAGGCAGTGGTTATGGTAAGGATATTAAACCTCTATTCTCATGGCAACTTTCAAATATACAATACCGTATTCTTAATTATAGTCACCATGCTGTACGTTAGATCCCCAGGATGTATTCACCTCAGAACTGAGAGCTTGTACCCTTTGACCAACATCTCTATTTCCCCCACCTCCCAGCACCATTCTACTCTCTGTGAGTCCAATGATTTTAGATTTTTAATATAAGTGATATCGTACAGTATTTTTCTTTATCTGACTTATTTCACTTAGCATAACGCCCTCAGGCTCCATCCATGTTGTCCCAAATGGCAGGCTTTCCTTCTTTTTTTTATGGCTGACGAATATAGATCCGGTTATCTGTTGATGGACACTTAGGTTGTTTCCAGTTCTCGACTTTTGTGAATAATGCTGCAGTGAACACAGAGGAAGTGCAGGTAGCTCTTCGAGGTAATGATTTCATTTTATTCTGACTTACCTAGAAGTGAGGCTGCTGGGTCAGATGACAGTTCTCTTTTTAACTTTTTGAAGATCCTCCAGACTCTTTTCCATAGTATACCAATTTACATTCCCACCAATAGTGCACAAAAGTCCCCCATCTTCACCAGCATTTGCGATCTCTTGTCATTTTTATAGTAGCCATTCTAACAGGTGTGAGATGATAGCTCATTATGGTTTCCATTTGCATTTCCTAGATAATTAATAATGTGGAGAACTTCTCCATGTACCTGTTGGCCATTTGTATGTCTTCTTCGGAAAAAATGTCTTTTCAAGTCCTCTGCCAATTTTTAATCAGGTTGTGTTGTGTTTTTATTGTTGTTGTTTTGGTTTGTTTTTTTTGGTTTGTTTTGTTTTTGCTATAAAGTTGTAAGAATTACATAGTTTGGATATTAACCCCTCATCAGATATATGGCTTACAAATATTTTCTCCTAAACTCAAGAGTTGGGGCTTTTTATTGCTAATGGTTATAACAGAACTTTAAATAGGGAAGTGACATGATCATAGCAATGATTTTATAAAGATTTGTCTGACGGTGTCATCTAATACTGATTTGCAGGGGAGGAGGCAAAGGGTTTACGCCATTTCCACTCCAACTGTGACGAAAGATTTAGACTTGGGTGGGGTAGTGAGAATGGCAGAGGAATAAAAGAGCCTTTGTAAAACATCGGGTAGTGTCTTGATGTGGTGGTTGACAGAAAAGGAAAATTCAAGGACCTTTTCAGTGTGTGAGAGTGTTGTAATATAATACAATCATTAACAAAAATAAAGAAGTTCAGGAAGGAAGTTGGATTGAGTTTGGGTAAAATGGTAAGTAAATGTGGTTACAAACGTAATGCAACTGGGTTGACATCATGTCACCTAGTTGGAAAACATCAGCTGATTCTTGAAAATGAAGAACTAAAATTCAGATTAGAGGATAGAACTAAAATAAACTTGTGTCCTCAAAAGAGAATCTAACCTGAAAGTGAAGAATGAAAAAAAAAATTCCATGCAAATAGAAACAAACAAACAAAAAAAGTCTGGGGTAGCAATACTTATATCTGGCAAAATAGACTTCAAAACAAAGGCCATAACAAGAGACAAAAAAGGTCACTGCATAATACTAGAAGGATCTATCCAACAAGAGGACAGAAATAAAGGCATCCAAAATGGAATGGAGGAAGTAAAACTGTTATTATTCACAGATGACATGATATTGTACATAGGAAACCCTAAAGACTCCACCAAAAAACTGCTAGATCTAATAAGTAAAGTCAGCAAAATAGCAGGATACAAAATTAATATCCAGAAGTTGGTGGCATTTTTAAAAATATATATCTTTATTGATTTCAGAGAGAGGAAAGGAGAAGGAGAGAGATAGAAACATCAATGATGAGAGTCACTGATCGGCTGCCTCCTGCACGCCCCCGACTGGGGATCAAGCCCGCAACCCGGGCATGTGCCCCGACCGGGAATTGAACCCTGATCATCTGGATCCTAGGTCAACACTCAACTGCTTAGTCACGGCCGGCTGGGCTGGTGGCATTTTTATACACCAATAATAAACTATCAGGAAGAGAAACTAAGCAAACAATCCCATTTACTATTGCAACAGCAACAACAACAAAAAAATACCTAGGAATAAACTTAACCAAGGAGGTAAAAGACCTGTACTCAGAAAACCATAGGACACTAAAGAAAGAAATAGAGGGAGATACAAGAAGTGGAAGCAGCCCGGCCGTGCATAGATTAGAAGAATTAACATCATTAAAATGTCCATACTACCCAAAGCAATCTATAGATTCAATGCAATTCCTATTAAAATACCAATGGCATATTTCACAGATCTAGAACAAATATTCCAAAAATTTATATGAAACCAAAAAAGACCCCAAATAGCTGCAGCAACCTTGAGAAAGAAGAACAGAATTGGAGGGATCATAATACTGGATATCAAACTATACTACAAAGCCATTGTAATCAAAACAGCCTGGTACTAGCACAAGAACAGGCATATAGATCAATGGAATGGAACAGTGAGCCCAGAAATCAACCCAAGACTTTATGGTCAATTAATATTTGACAGAGGAGGCAACAGCATACAATGGAGTAAAGACGGTCTCTTCAATAAAGGGTGTTGAGAAAATTGGACAGGTACATGCAAAAAAATTAATCTAGACCTTCAACTTACACCATACACAAGAATAAACATGAAATGGATAAAAGACTTAAAAGTCATGAAACCATAAAAATTCTAGAGGAAAACATAGGCAATAAAATCTCAGAAATCTTGTGTAGCAATATTTTCTACCGATATATGTCCTAGGGCAAGGGAAACAAAGGGAAAAAAGCTTCTGCACAGCAAAGGAAACCATCAACAAAATGCAAAGGGAACCCACTGTATGGAAGAACATATTTGCCAAGGATACATCTGATAAGGGGTTATTTTCCAAAATATATAAGGAACTTATACAACTCAACAGCAGGAAGAAAAACAATCCAATTTTTAAAATGGGCAAAGGGCCTGAATAGACACTTCTCTAAAGAAGACATACAGATGGCCAAGAGACATATGAGAAAATGCCCAACATCACTAATCATCAGAGAGATGCAAATTAAAACCACAATGAGGTATCACCTCACACCTGTCAGAATGGCTACCAATAAATCCACAAACAACAAGTGCTGGCATGGAAGTGGAGAAAAGGGAACCCTAGGGCACTGCTGGTGGGAATGTAAATAGGTGTAGCCACTGTGAAAAGCAGTATGGGGTTTCCTCAAAAAATTAAAAAAGGAACTGTTTTTTGACCAATGTTCCCACTGCTGGGAATATAGCCTAAGCAACCCAAAACACCTATCAGAAAGAATATATGCAGCCCACTGTTCATAGCAGCATTGTTTACAATAGCTAAGACCTGGAAACAGCCCAAGTGCCCATTAGTAGATGNATGGCAAAGGGTCTAGAAGGTGAGTGGCTGGGGAAGAGAGGAGACTGAGCAGAGCTGTATGACAGTGAATGGAGCGACTGTGACACATGAGGACCTGCTCACTAATATCAGTGACTTCAGATGGATTTCTTTACCTAAAATTTTTATTTTGACATAATTTCAGATTTTGAAACAATGTGGCAAGGGGAAGTACAAATAATTTCCAGATACCGTTCACCCAGAATCCCTATTTGTTAAGATTTTACTGCATTTTCTTTCCACTGTATTTCAAGGAGATTCAGATGCAGAGAAGAGATTAATCTGGGTTGAGGTGTTCTGTTTTCCAAATTCTCGTAAGAATGTTCCCCTGTATTAGAATCCCTCTGGCAGGAGCCTTCCTCTCACAAAGGTTATAGACTTCCTTCCCCTCCTTGCCCCACCCTCTCCCTTTGCCAAGAACACAGAAGGGGAAGAAGTTTTCACTTGGGATGCTGCCAAGACGGAGGCACTGTGTGAAGGAGGAAGGAAGTTGTCTGAGCAGAACAAGTGTATTCTCAGGAGAAGGGGCCTCTGCCCACCACACCAAGCACACGACCACCGGGAAGATCCCCACCGCAAACCAGCCCAGCCTTTCAAGGGGAGAGCAGGTAAATCTATGTGTCTGTCCTCTCTGCACAGATTATTGGCTCTTCCCCAGTGCTGAGACCTTCAGGGACACCTGTCCTATCTGTCAGCTCCTGGCACAGTCTTCTAAAGACTGAGGTTTCTGATAGCCGGAGTCAGCATGACCAAGATGACTGACTAAGGTGCTGGGGAGCAAGAATCATTTCAAGGCTAAGGGTTTNCTACATAATGGAATACTACGAGGCTATAAAAAATGAACTCTTACCCTTTGAGACAACATGGGTGGACCTGGAGAATATTATGCTAAGTGAAATAAGCCAATCAGAGAAATACAAATATTACCTGAGCTCACTTATATGTAGGATCGAATGAACAAAATAAACTAACAAAAAAATAGGTCCATAGGCATGGATGCTTAGAACAGACT